CTCGCCTCGACCTTCGTCATTGTCATCACCCTTGCTCTTGTTCACGCCTGTGCCCTTGCTGTTTCTTTTGCCCTCACCCTCGCCTTTGTTCCTGCCCTTGATTTTGCCTCGCCCTCGCCCGTGTTTACGTCCCCGAGCTTGCCGCATGCGGACGCCGGATCGCTCAGGTCAGCCCTCTCCCTCCCAACCCTTGTACCTTGTCCTCTGGCCACGCCATTGCTCCCGCGCTCATCGGACGCCGACGGCTTCGCGAGGTCGGTTTCGCCCTCGCCCCTTGCCTCTGACCTTTGTTCTTGCCCTTGACTGCGTCCCCGCGTTTGCTGACGCGGATGCGATCTTCACACAGAGCCACTCGGTGGCGCACACGAGAAGCGGCAGAGCCCTTCAGACACAGCCTCTACTGACTGCCACTGCCCATGGGAGAGGAAGGTTCGCACCGCTGTGGGCTCAGGCTGCCGACAAAGGCCGGTGGCATATGGCAAAGGCAGGCAGCACGTAATGACCGCGTCTATAGTGCGTCTAGTGTGAATGCTGCCATTTAGAACGGTGATCTACTAGCGGAGGCGCGGATGCACTTCTACGCTGATGGGGACGTTCGCCACTGAGTGCCACAGCAGCGTGATCACTTCACCCACGTTGAAACATTCATTTAAACCAATGGTTTGCCATCAGACGCGCCACTCGAAAGCGATGGTGAGTGGCGCCGTGTGAAGCGACCCTTAAGTCCGACTCTATCCACCACCACTCCCGCTCCCTCCCTCACCATCGCCTTCGTCGTTCCCCGTGCCTCGCCCTTGCCCTTCCTCACGTCCCCGCACCTGCCGCACGCGGAAGCCGAAGCCTCAAGTCAGCCCTCCCCCTCCATCGCACGCTGGGCCATGCCCTCTGCCCTTGCCTTTGCTCCCATGTACACGTGACGGTGACGGCGCTGATCACCCCCCTCCCATGCGGCCCTTGCTCTTGCACCCACTCTTCTTCCAACCCTTCTCTTGCCCTTGTGTTTGTCTCAGCGTTTGCCCGTCGCATCCGATTTATAATATAATTTTCTGTTCCTTGTTTAGTCCGAAATCATAGGAATCAATAAAAAAGGTATATATTATCAGTAAAAGCGCATTTTTCAGTGGAGTAGCTTTCAACTACAAAATATCTGAATTTACGTAAATTGAAAAATTCCAATATTTTCGACTATCTTCGTACAACAATATTGAATAACGGTTTTTTTTCCTTAATTGAGGTTGTTCTGTAAAGATAATTCTTGCAATAAGGTTGTATACAATTTTTTGAAAATATGAATATTTTTCGCGTCATTTTGCTTCAAAATTACCTTCCCTTTTCTTTTATCCCTCTTTCCTCCTATTTCTTATTTATTAATTATTTATCCTTATTATTCAATTATTTATCTTTGTTGTTCTTTCTTTTTCTTCCTTTGTTTTGGATGGCGCTAGGACCAGGGCGTTTACTAGGCATCTGCTCACTCGCAATGCCGGCAGATTCTTTCATTGGAGGCCATACAGTTTTCGTACTCCTTGCGTTTCGTGACACTGTTCGGCAGTTGATTTCGCGTTGAGCGCCTGATTGACCTGGTCTCCTGAGGAGTGACGGGGGCAGGGGGGCTCGCTTTGAGAAGGCTTCGCGTGGCCCTGACATTTCTGCGGCCAGTTCAACGGCTGAGGAAAGATTACAAACGACGTCAGAGTGTCCAGAAGCCGACTTATTTATGACAGAAGTTAACGAGCATCTTCCGGGCCATAGTAGCATCGCTGTACTTGTTACAAGAGGGACCCAGAGGTTCATATTTTCATGCTACAACGTTCTCCTTAGAACCACAAATCCAGGTTCTTTCAATAGCATGTAAAGATAACTAATAAATTAAGAAAAACAGAGAAGTTCTTGTCTTTCGAAATTCAAAAAAGAAATGATTTCTGAGATATTGGTTCTTCCTAATTTTTTAGCTGATGAATCAAAAGTCTTATGGCTTGGCATGTAAGAATGTTCTTGTTGTTTGGTTCGTATATATTTGTGTACTTGTCGATATCTCAGTACGAATTTGGATCTTCGGCATGTCAATGATAAATTGCACAAATTGAAACATTATTCCACCTTGCAAAAACATGCATTATAATTTTTTTTAAAATATTAATTCTATTAAAATATTTTATTGGTTGGATAAATGGTTTCGCTTCAATTTAACGTAAAATAACTGAAAATTATTGAAAGGTCACCCTATTATGTTCCTGATATTATTTATATAAACAATGTAATCAAGCAAATGCTAATAAATTCCTCTACAACCTGGTTTTTAATAACCCTTTTAGTTTATGGCGCCTGGAAACAGTATAATTAATCAATCAATATCATCAAAACTCCGAGGAAGAGTCCGTATCATATTACTGAAAAAATAAATACTAAAGTGAGAAACTTACCACCAATGGGACGGAGTAATTTATTAAACTTTTTCTACAATAGTGTATGCACGCCTCGGAAAAAATGTTCTTAATCCTTCCACACTTCAATCAACGATAAAACGTAAATCAAAAATTATGAATGTACGCATTTTCAGGAAGTAAATTTTTCGAAGGCAGAATTTTGAAGAAAATTTGACTGATGAACTCAAGCATATGACTGAAATGCCTATAAACTGATGAAAACCCTAAATTAAGATTTAACCCACAAAAATCTAAAACTCAGAAGATATTTCAAATCATTTTTATACTTTTTTCTCTTTAAAATTCCTGTTACACGTATGAGCACCCTCGTGAGAGCAATCCCATGACAGATCAAAAGTAGCTGAATATTCAGGGCAGTACAATGAAAGTGTGTGCTGTGCTTTTGTATCACAATACTTTATACGTATGTATACGATTTACTTGTGTGGCATGGACTTGACTTTTTGCTTCGAACTTTGTGCGACATACAGAGTATGCATTTATTTCTATATCTGACAACTCTACGCATATTAAAATTTGAACCAAAACTATTTAATTAGGAATAATCATTGCTTCATCTTCCTGAGAAGCAGTATATTCTTTCTCAAACGCACTGTATAATAAAATTAAAACCCCGACCTTCAACATTAAAATTTCCGTATTAAAGACGTTGTTAGCGCTGTAATTTCGCACACGTTTCTTGCAGAATTAAATTGTTTGCCCCTGCATGCATTGATATTAGTAGCGAAGTTAATTGATAAATGTTATATAGTTCGTAGCGTAGAGAGCAGGAATACTGAAGATTGAAAGTGAACTGTTTCAAAATTGAGGCAGAACATGGAAAGTAAGTTAAGAAAAAGAAAACTGAAAAATATAAAACAAAAAAAAACATCAAAGAAATAGAAAAACGATAAAAAAGTTTAATGAAAGTAAAGGGGATCAAGAAGTCGCAAAAATATCATGACGAGACTAAGAAAGGAAGAAAAAATACCGGGGGAATATCCTTTCTTATCAGCTTGCCGACCCACACTGGTTTCCGTACTACGTAAAACCACAGTTGTTATCTCTGAATAATTTTCCCTACAACATTAAACAGACTCTGACAGGCGAGGACAAAAAACCGCAAGAGGGACTATCAGTAACCACAAATGGCACCACTAGAAATAAAAATCCCCACAACATACTTCTTCCCGTACTTCTTTACACTATGTTTTAACTATTTTTGGGGTTAAATAAATAATGTTTTTAAAATTTAAAACAATTATTTATTCGTTGTTGTGAGTGGAAAAGTAATCCAGAATATAAAATTAAATACGAACTAATGGTGCTCCAACATCACATTTTCTTGAATTATTTGTGACTTTTGCAATTTTCAAAATTCAAAGAGTTGAACAAAAATCGAACCTTCACCATGTTTGTTAGACTTTGCACTATCCAAGAAAAAATAAATAACAAATTGCAGCGTTTTTAGAAATTCGTGTTCTTAACATTGTTTTTGTAACGAAAATTACGCAAAAACTACGTACATTTTACAAAACTTCCACGTGATATACGATAAAAGGTCTATTTTCTAAGAACTGATTTTATTACGAAGAAATCTGTCTTCATTATTATGGTTGTAGGAGGACCTGCACATTTTTTAACTTTTGCAGTTTTCAAAATTCAGAGAACTCAAAGAATATTGGATCAGCGCCATTTTGATGAGCGTACGTTGCTCTACTCAAGGAAATATCTAGAAAGGAAAAACTTTGGTGCCATTTTTGAGAAAAAATTGAAAATGTCTTCAGGGATACATGTAATGTATTTCCTAAAATTAAAACATCCCTTTCAACTTCTAGGGCCCGGGAGATCAGCCATATCGAACAAGAAATATCAATTTTAATGAAAAAGCTGCCGCATTTCCTCGAAATCGATTTTCTGCAGAGTTATACAAATTGCTGTATACTACTAATAAAATGTTTTAAACGATTTAAACTGTTTAAAAATATTTTCATGCATTGATAATTTCTACTGCGCAAGTTCTAAAAAATATAAACTTTTTAAAATACTGTTGTTTGTTTTTTCGTCCTTGAGCTTTGTACGTGAAAAATTAACTTTTAAGAATGAAAATTAAATAATAACAAAGAACCTAAATATGTGTAATTGCAGCTCTTCTTTCGGGCTACGGTCACTACCTACTACAAAATACGGTGTTCTAAATATAAAAATACGTTCTAATACGAGAATCTAACTCGAATAGTCCCAAAGAGTTATTCTGAAGAGTATATTCTTTCATTGTATTATCTTGCGGGTTACGAAAAAAATGTGTACTTTTGAAAGCTCCTATTCTCGACCATACTGTTCTATTCTTATAAATTTATATTAGAATATATAAGTTCGTAGTTGAAATTATATGTTGTGTACTAAACCTTGTCTCAATGTCGACAATGTCTGGTACTCAGCGAGACATAATTTTTATTTGAACATAGTTCAAATAAAAATGGATATCTTAATTAATTAATAAGTTATTGTAATATTTTAAATAGGCCGTGAAAACTCAATGAATAAAGAATTGTTAAATATATTTTAAACAAAAGATTATACGCGGAAAAAATAAAGTTTATCTCACTGTTTACTCCTCTACCCTACGTATACGAAAAAATAAAAAAATCTGAAAAAATGTTATATTAAATATGATCTAAATACATTTGGCCTAAATATAAAAACATCTCCCATGGTTTTACTCAATTGTTAGTTGTTATTTACATCATGAATTGAAGTCTCATCATTGTTTGCATCATGCCCAAGACTGTCGAGTGGGATATGGGCCTCGCTGCAAACTAGAAGTGTGTGCCCTCAGAAACATTTTAAAATTTGTATTATATAAATGCATCACAGTCTCGCTGCCACTACAGGCGTTGGTTTGTAAACTACAATAACCATTAAATAATTAAAATGTTTAAGTTGTAATAAAAGTGATGGGATGCGTAGGGTATCGTAGGCACCCTTGGGCACCATAGTCCCTGGCGCGATGCCCTGCTGGCCCCCTCGCCTCGCGCATGGCATATTGTATTGCCAACCGCAGCCTTTGTAATTTCGTGTGTTCCAGGAGTGGCAACGTCTCCGCTCCGAAGCTCCGTGTTCGCCGTGGTGCTGGTGCTACTGCTTGCCTGGCAGCAAGTTCGATAGCGCACAATAAACCTTGCGATTTCCATATGATGTGATATTACTCTTAATATTGAATATCTTAAGATGGGGTTTCATTGTTTTTGCAAGTTACTCTTATTCCTTGATAAAACGAGTACAGTTTGTGTATGGTTGAGTTTTAAGTTGGCTTTTCAGAAGTCATAATTAGTATTATGATTCAAAATATATTTTCGTTTGTGAAACGTATATCAGGAAACAAATATTTACCAACTCCAGCGATTTATGTTGGAAGTAGAAAACTGAGTATAGAAGACTCAAGACAACAGAAGGCTGTGCCAGTGTGTGATTTCCTAGTCACATAAAAAGTAATGTCGATAGGTTTCTTTACTATTGTATTTACAAATATATTTTTCTGCGTTACTTCATACAATGGACAATGCATGTTGACAATTACTTCTCTTGATGAGATAGCAATGATTTTACAAAAAAATGATTGATTAGTGTTGATTTTATGAAGTTAGTTCGTCCAAATGAAGACAAAACTTTGTAAGAAATGGTAATGGTAGTTGGAAAAAATTTGTTACTCAAGCCTCTTTCCATTGTCTTTGGTGGTAAATAAAGTTTCAAGAACACCATATAACTAACATTGATTGAATGCCCATTGTCTTACCATTAGCAGAACACGCAATTTCTGATCTGGATTGATGGTGAGTAGTAGAAGTTACCGAGCAAGCAACTAACTGCGCATGCATATTTCCTGTTCCAGATAAAAACGTTATATTGCCAGTGGCTAAAATAGATTATTATTCTTCAGATTTATGAAAAGTTAGCGCTTCAGCGCCAGATATAAATCCTGTAGAGAAAACTACGTTTTTTAAAATTAAGACTTTTTTAGTAGTAGGTCATTGTGATTAATGGTATTATAATAACTTCGAGTTCGGCGATAGTTAGGAATTGCGTGATCCACTGCACTTGGATAACAAGTTAAATGGTGCTGTTGAGTCTATTATGAAACCGTTAAGGCTTCATAGGGCCCCTACATGCCCACTGCATGTATTTCTGTCTGGTGACTCTTAAAGTAAGATACGAAAAAGAATACGAGATATTTAATGGGTGTTGAAAGGGAAAAGACATGTTGCAATTAGTTGACATATTTTGTTGGAAAAGTAAGAGCTAATATCATATATTATGTTATACTTGAAACATTCACGTGCGTGAAACATTCACTTCAAAGCAAATTGCAAAATAAATATACTTATTCACCAAAACAATACAGAATTAAACAATACGTAAATTTATAGATAAGAACTATTCAATATTGATGTGTATCGTTAACGTCACTTTAGATGATTTGAAAGTTTTATGTCTAGAAAAGCATTAAATCCATGAAAAAACTGCAAGAAAGAGAGGGTTCTAAACAAATATTTAGCAATTTGATGCCGTTTTTGAGAAATGTTAGACAATGATCACTAACTTTATATAAAATACCTCAAAATGCACTTTCAAATTCTCAGGACCTAGACCTCGGGGAGATTACTCCGAAAATAATCATTTGGGAGAAAATTCTGTTTAGGTATTAGTGTTTACTCGGACGGACGGACAAAGTTTAAAAATTACTTTTTTTACGTATCAGATACCCCGAAACGTATACACGTCAAAATCTCGACAATGAGTTTTAGCATTACATATCTCTGAACAACGTATACACTTAAAAGAACTATATGTAGAACAGGTGAAACAAAAAATGAGAGATGAAAATGTGTAGTGAATTTCAACAATAATAACTTATGCTATAGAGTTCTTTAAGTTTATAGACAAAAGTAACGTAACACACATTTTATACATAAGTTGGTAATTGTTTTTGTACGTAAAGAAACTATACATCAATTTCCTTCTAAAGTGCATATGTTTAATGGCGCACAAAAAACTAATATATTACTTGTTGTAATATACATATTTAGTGAATTCGAAGTCGGGATGAAACTTAGACGTCGAAGAAGTATCAATTCTGCACAGCTATAATTTCAACGGCACCTTTTATTTAAAAAATGCTTGTGTGCGACAATTACTCAATTTTAGTTCAATATGATATTTTTTAAAACACTTATACACAATAACGTGATTATTTGTTTCCATTAAAAAAATTGAAAAAGTTTTTTAAAAAATGTCAATGGGCTCGGCAGCTGGGGGTAACGTTCATTCGCTCTAAAATTTGTGTCATGAAATGTAGTGAAATAATTCCCTACCAAAATCATGATCAACACAATGGTCATATTAATGTCATTTTGATTTGTTTAATTACATTATATCTCGTGTAATACGACCTGCAGATAATAATTTCAAGTATTTGTATGTAGTGCCTTGTAATTATGTCTCACGCCGATTTTTCGGGCTACATGTTCTCATTATAATTAATGTGAAGCAAGCAGTTGAAGAATGTACCAAAAATGTCAGGCTTCAAGAAAAGGACAGCGGAAGAAGAAGAACACATGAAGTGAATATGTAGAAAGCAGTTATGTTATAGGAGTATGCCATTGATTCTCAAAATAAGTGAATAGAACAAACATACAGCTCTAACTAGGAATATACTCATAAGAAAGTATAACCACGCTTTTCCTGTGCTAAGCCAATTTGAATAAAACTGTCAGAATGGTATTTTCACTGCCATATGGTTTGTATTTAGTGAGATTGTCACTAGGCCATACTAGTTGGAGGGATTGTTATTTTGATTATATTTTTTTTTCTTTTCTATTTTCCCCTATTATTTTCAAATTGCAAACATTAGAGAGACACATTTTCAGAGCGATTAAACTAAATCTTTTATCACTGAGCACTGGAAACGTTTTAGACAACTACTTCATTTTTATATTTTTTCACATAGGTAATGGGAACAATGCCTATGCAAAGGAGCTTATCTTGAACCACAGTTTAGAATTTTTGGACTCTAAAAAACATATTTTTAATGAAAATGTGCCGTCAAAATTAGAATGATGTTGATACTCAAATTTCCCCGTAAAATTTTCGCCGTTTCCATTAAAAAAAAAATTGTTGTGAGAGCTTAAAATATGTTTCTGGCCCGTGATTTCTTTTGTTCCTGTTGCATTTTCCTAGTATGCATTTTTTTTGCTCTTGTCAGAAGGGTGAATTAAAGTATTTTGAAATATGTGAGTGAATTTAATTTTAATTTTATTATTTACTTTAGTTCTGATATTTATTTGTAAACGGAAAGTTTGTTAAGTATTTGAAAGGATTCATTTAAAATTTGAAAATCTACCAAAATTTGCCGTTTTTGTACTATTTATATGCCATTCATTCCATTTTTTCAATTGAATAAAATATTATAGAAACAATTAATACTTATCTTGTAATTGAGCGGTAATAAACATTATCTTATTTAAAATAATAAAATAATTACAAAATGTATCTTAATTTATATTTTTAAGTAATGAACATAATCCTTGCATGAGCAATTTTGGTAATTTTATAAAAGAAATATGGTTTAACAATTATTTAACATACCTAAAGCTTCTTTAGTCTGACACATACACTATTGTAGTAGTTACTATTCAGATATAAATACAAATGCCTTATAATTGAGATATTATAATTAGAATCGTTCTGAAAGTAAACGATTTTCAATTAATATTTACAAATGTACTTAATCTATAAATTATAGAAATATGAAAAATAAGAAGTACAAAATTAAAATTACTTTCTGGAACTAAAAACCACTTTGAATTCACGATGCTATAAACCTGAGTGCGACTAAGAAGAAAGCTGCAAGAGACAAAGTGATCTGCGCAGCGCCATCTGAAAAATGAGTGTCAATGGTTACTTAAAAATTGAAAAGGAGAAAAAGTAATTTTTGAGACATTCAGGACAACACATAATTATGAAATGGTACCAAATAGTACGTAGGAATGAAAATAGCGAAAACGCATTTAAAGCAGTATCTTCTTCAAATCTCATAAATTTAATGAAATTGGTTGCTTTCAGATAGTGGCAGGAAGTGGATGAGGTGGGACCCTCGCATATTTTTTACTCGTTTACGCGACGCTAAAGATGAGTATATTCAAATTGGAGAATTTATATCAATGGGGATTTCTTTATGTAGATATTGTTAAATTCGTCATTCTCCTTGATACTCGAAATATTAGGTGAATTAAAATCGCATTAAAATTATATTTTGCTAATACATGTGGCGTTTATTGCAAAGAGTGAAATGTTTTACTTAATGTGTATATAATATGTTTCTTCTCCATTTTCCCTGTTATATCACTTACTAGAATGGTGGGCGCCACCCGTTGCAAAAAATTCGATAACTTCTCTAGAAATAAAGCAGATATCTGAGCTGTGTCGTTTTTATTTCTTTCTTTCCACGCCAAGCAATTTTGATTTAACTTGATTCACAGTGGGGACAATGTTGCTCGCGTCCGTGGTCAACCACACGTGTCCCCTGGGTAACGCTAAACAAGCAACAGTGATTCGCGCTTGACCAATGTGGGCGTGCGGATCCCTACAAGCTGGGGGGGGGAGCCTATGCGTCTGTACAGGTCGGCGCGTCACCAAATGTCTAACAATATCTTCGTATGTCTGACCCCCCACAGGCAGGGAGGGGGGAGGGCACTAACCTTCGCAGACGCCGTCGTTCTCCTGCCAGGCCTCCCTGCACTGGCACTCGCCCTCGACGCAGTGCACCTTGTGGCGCTCATCCTGGGCGTACGAGCACTCGGTGGTGTTGTGGCACGCTTCGCCTAGCCCTGCGCAACACACCCACGTTCATCCCTTACGATTACTTCTCACCAAGGGCGGATCAAGGAAGTAATACAAGGGGCGGACTATTTTCAGTTCGGATCCAACATAAATGTGTTTGAAATATTTGTTTCCTTGCAGTAAAAATATACGAGCGTATTTGTAATAGAAAATAAGACTGTTTTAGAGAACTTTCTCTCGCGCCACATTACATAACTTTCTATGAACTGCAGTAGCGTTAGTGAGTAAAATGGTGACTCATTACACATGGATTGATTCTATGTTCATGACAATTTTCACAGCACGGCCCAATTTTAGCCCATTGCATTGAAATAGTTAAATTGTGCGAAGCTAAGTTCTTAAAGCAAACATTTCAAGTTTTAGTCTTATCTAAAGTAAACGTATTTTGGATAAAAATGTACAGAGCTATGGCCATTGAAAAAGTGACTATTTTTATGGTTTGATCGTATAATCGGCCGTATTCGTGTAATGTTGCACACTGTTTGAGTAAAATAATTAATGTTTGATGATCATAAAATGGAGGGGGTAACATAGGCACCACTTCAGCCAAAAATATGTTGATAAAAATAATATTAAATAACATTTATTCGTTATTTTTTAAGTGGCAAAAAGGGGCAAAAATGGGGTATTGTGGCAAACCAGAATTCAATTCAAAACCCGTTTCATTGGTGCTGATGTTCTTAATCAAAAACTTACTTTTTTCGAAAGGCCATTCACTTCTATTTTTTTCGATACAGCGTAATATTTATCTGCCCTAGTCGACAAACCGTGGCGTTTCCTTGTCAATTGCACGCGACGGAGTGCGGGCGTCCGCGGCCGCATCACCAACCTTTGCTGTTCCAGCATTTGCCGTCGGCGTGGTGCCTGCCGTCCATGCACCGGCACGCGAAGTCGTCGCAGAAGGCGAAGTCCCCGAACGACTCCTGGCACTGCGTGTCCTCCTCGCACCGCCCTTGGTACACGTACACCACTGCAACACCACGCCACGGGCGCGTTAAACCAGGGCAAGGGGCCACTCTCCCCGCAGCGGCCCGCTGCGGTGGCCCGCGCGCCACTCGCCTTTCACAAGACTAGAGCCGATCGCTTCTCGAGCGCTCCTTCGCCCCTCCCCAGTCGGTCAGACGGACTCTGCGAGCCACCCTCTGCAACCCACAGAAGCGACGACCGCTAGGACTCCAGAATTTGTCGTCAAAAGAAATAATATAAAACTCTGTTTATGCCCTCTTGGCTGTGAGATTTTAATTTTTTGTACTTGGGTCCTCGTAGTGTGCGTAATTTCCTCATTCGCAATTGAAACATCTTTTTTTTTTTAAACTTATAAATGTTTCTGATACGTATCTTCAGTATTTTTTTTTCTTTGGAAATGACTCACAAACTCCCTTAGATATTTCAAAAGGAGTTAATGTGAAAACGGAGGCCACGTACGATGAAGCTTATTTTCAAAATAAAATACACAAGTGTCTCAGAATAAATGTTGCGATCATCTAGGGCATGTAGAGTAATCGGAGATGATCACCTTTTGCCAATGAACATATTGTCGTAAATTTCATATTGCGGAGATATACATGTGGTATTTGCCCCTGATTGTTAGGCAACTTTTCATGCACTAGTGTTCGGGAGGTAATTTTTTTCTACCTTCATTCTAAAGTACTCGAGAAGACAAATACGATGATATAAGTATTTTAATATTTGGAAAGAATCTGTAGAAGAAATGTGTTCTACATTTTCTCAAAAGCCACGTTTTCCGCGCCTTTGCCGAACGGTTTTCTGGAAGGCGAAAAGAGTGTCTTGGCTGGCGCTCGGCACTCTTGATAGAAATCGAAACTTTGTGATTTCAATGTAAATACACTTATTTGTATTGCTGTCTTGAATTGATCTCATACTTACAAGTGAATCTGTTTCCGTTTGACTTCAAGCATTACAAACATTCTTTGTTACTAACTCGGATAGCTAGGGAATAAAATTCTGTTCCTATTCCACAATGAATGCATTTATTGGTCAATAATTAGAAAGCGAAGAAATTTGAAGCCTTGGACTAACTCATACGTAATAGAATCCAAGTTTGGTTTTCCACGTAGTCGCTTTCTTTCTTTCTCTACCTTTGATAATTTATCATTTATTTTCTGCTGAAATCACTGCACTTTTATTCCCATCAATGTCATGAAAATTCGAAATATTCGGTAATGTACCCTTGCTATTACCAAAATAGTCAATTATTATGATATATTTATAAAATATTTATTTAATTTTAATTTGTTAAATAAATAAAGACGAAAATATCATTCTAATTCATTATAAAGAGTTTAAGTAAAGTGTATAAATAAAGTTTAAGTTAACCAATACGTGCATTCCATTGTGGAAAAGGAAAATATTTTCTTGCTACCCGAAGAAATAGTTTGCTCTTCTGCTAGCCTAAACAAAAACAAGTGAACGTGTATGTAAGAGATCAGAGTTAGAATGCAATATAAATAAGAATAATTCCTTAAATTGGAAACCTGAAGTTACAATTTCGAATTCTATTTAGATAGCGGATCGCCAGCAAAGGACAGGATATTGTCGCCTTCCAGAAATATGTTACGGAAAGACAATGAGGAAATGTGAGAAAATTTGAGGAATGTAGAAACATTTTTTGCTTCAGTTTCTTACCAAATTTTTACAATGGTTATATCATTGTATTATGCCTTCGAGTACTTTATAGCGGAGATAGAAAAAAATATATATTATCATTTAAAAAAACTTATATAAAAAAATGAATTAAAACAGTTACAAACCAGAAAACGAAATATATAATCTACAACAACTTGGCAAACTGCAACCCAATACCTCAAACCGTTTGGAAGAAATTCGATGTGGCCAACTTAGCCGGTCCACTTTGTATATCTTTTTATGACTTCATATGAAGTAATGCATTTGCTTTCTGTGTATTACTGTTTTCATTCACGTTTACCTCTCCTGGCTGTCTTACACGCCGGGGGTCCGTAAAGACTATATTAGTCTACAGGAAAGCGCAGATGTGACTCGAGGAGTAAGGTAATCTTGGGCGAGGAGAGCAGCTCACCTGGGAGGCAGTGGTTGTAGGAGGAGTGGCGCACGTAGCCCTCCCTGCAGGTGCACTCCTTGTCCTCGCTGCACATGGAGTTCTCGAGCGACCCGCAGTCGTAGTCGCTGCTGCAGCGCGCCCCCACCGCTGCACAAGCACAGAGGACAGCGTTAGTAGTCAGTCAAGAACTACTTCACAAAGACCCATCATCTGGCCGGATATATTTGTTATTTTTACTTTCTCGTAAATGAGAAATACTTCTTCTGGTAGGGAACTGTATACGTATAAGTATAAACAAAATATTTTTGATTGATTCCTTAGTGATTGCGGGCGCGTCAACTGATAGGTCAGTAGTCCCATTAGTGTAGTGCATATTTTTCTTCGGGAAGTGGCGGTGAACTTCCCCCTGGATGGAGAGATCCGGCACCGACCGGCACTCCCCTACCCTGGGTCGTCCCGGTGAGAGACACTGCAGTGACATCAGTTGATGTCCTGAGCCACCTCGCCCGGTAAGAAAATATTGTAATGCTGGCGAAAAAACGACAGAAAAAGTAATTTTTAATTAGTCTCTAATTCCAAAACGGGGATTTTTTTTCTCGCTACTATGTATGGCATATAATTTCCTCTAATACGTTGTGAATTCAGCCTTTTCTGTGGCATTATTATCGAAGAATTGGTTTTCGACATTTTGTATGTTCCTGAACACCGCTAGCACCTACCTCAACTGTACACAGGATTATCAGCAAATTTGATACATCCCCGATCGATTTGACAGATGTCACGCGGACCTTTGAATTCGGAATGGATATTTTAATTTTTGGGAGTACTTAACGAGAAGCATTAACATGATTTTTGAAATTTTATCCAAAATGGTTCATTCTTGTTTTGCTCGATATTAGGAAAGTACACTTATTAATAAGAGGCTGGTTCCATTTTGTCTACTTGTAAAAACGAATCATTGATACCAGTTCTTTGATGAGCTGCAGAGAAGTTAGCTCAGTGGGTTACGAGGTCGCCCAGCGGAAACAAATACCTAGATTAGCGTCTCAGCTCAGATGGATTTTGCAGTGATTTTGATAAGACACAAAACCGTAAAATTGTAACAATGTACACATTATGCAAATAAAAAATGTATGTAGAAGATTTAAATTTTCTTCAACGTAATGGTAAGAGTCGAAGTGTGGGAATAAACCTTAACAGTCCACATTATATGTATACTCGGATTTAAATAAATTGTTTTCTGACAGATCATCGGCTGAACACGGTTCCAATCGTAACTTATTTTTTGGTATTTAAGCTCCCGATTAGTTAATCGCGTCACAGCTGACGATCTGTGAGAGGTCACTATGTCAATCGAAGTACAGGACGGTTGTGTTCGCGCCTTTCAGCCGAAAGGTTTGAACAGTCCGCCGCGTAATGCTCCACAACGCTCTCTTGTAACGGAGCACTTCACTGCGTGTGAACTGGCGCCCTCTGCCTGTTACGGGAGGAAATATGAAAGCATTCTGCCTACTTCGTCCCGTTTGCTCAGGGAGGACTTCGCCCCAAGAACAGACTTTAAAAAAGTAAGATAAAAATCTTCAAAACTTTAAACGTGCCATGACTGATAAAAATATTTTATTCTCTTATATCATTCACCTGAGGTTTGTTTCATGGTACAACAATGTTTAAGAAACTAAGGGGACATAAATTTCGACTTTTCTTCCCAATTTCAAAGCAATTTGCTCTTACAGAGTTATTTGCCGCACTAGTGGCGACTTACATTTTCCAAACTCAGTTGGTCATGGGTTTATCTACGGTTTCATTTACAATATAAATGACAATTATGTGTAGTTGTTGGTCAGGATATTTGTCAGATAAAGGTACAATGTAGAACGTTTGACAACAATTTTCAATATTGCTTTGTCTTTGTCATTTTTAAAAGTGTTCATTTTTTCACGACTATGTGGTTATATAATCGATTGCAAACTGAGTCTACGAAATGCTAGCAAACTAAAATAACTTTTCATCTACCTGATATTCCATTACCTACGAAAAAATATTCTCAATATGTGGTCATTATTTGCACAGTATTTGCATTTTACTCTACACCTCAAGAAATTAGTTTCATCATCAAAGTTAATCTTTGCACATCGTTCATAGGCTTGATTGTTTCGAGGACCTATAGGGAGCCTCGGAAGGAATAGAGACGGCTTCTGAGGAAGTGGGCGTGGCCGACATGTGAGCCACCCCGCCCCCTCGCTTCTCGTCTGAGCGCATTCGTATCAGCTCATTCCAGGAGGTGATAACACCCACTCACACAACACTGGAAGCCGGAGCGGTTGAAAACTAAACGGCTCGCGTTAGAATTGTAACGAAAGAAAATTCAGTTCTTGAGTCAAAGGCTATGAAATATCAGTGGCAACATACTAACGAACTAATTTTCTGTATTAGGAGAATAGTCGTAACGGCATGATACGCCGATTTCATTTATGATAGTTTTTGTTCTTCTGATTCGTTTTTGGTCATTATAACCCTACTACGAAAATGCCTGTTAATTTGCTCATTCATCCAGAGCAACATCGAAGAGCCCGATTTAGTCATCGTAGAAAGCACTCGTAGCTTTATCATATCGAGCGCGATAACACGATCGAATGTCCCAGATACGAAGTTAGTTATTCCAAATGAGAATCTGGAGTTTTGAACGGAACTGAGTGTAGGAAATAAAAATGAATTGAAATATGCTACTTGATAGAACAGTAAAAGATACTACTTGATATAACAATGTAAATATGTAAAACGTGAAGGAGGCGTTTAATCCAAGCGGCAGATTTAAAAAGGTGAAATTTTCTTGAGAACTTTCATTACTCGTAGGTGCATAGCCAGGCTGGTGCAACCAGTGTGCGACAGCGGGGCCCCCGAAATCGAGGGAATACCGCATGCTGATATTTCCAAAAATTATTTCCTTTTTTTGGCTTTTCTCCTCTTTATTAAACTACATGAAAAGAAAATAGCAAGTTACTCGACCTGTGACTTCCCTATAATTAATTTGTTTGCCACTTTTTTCCTTGAACATTATGCAATAAATTGCAACGAAACAATAATCCAAGTAAAGCTAAAATACGCACAGAATTGATTTAGTTGGTCCTATTTCCGCTTCAGGGAAGAGGAACCCGATCAAATCCTATTCTTTTAATATCTGATTTCGTATCAGTCAGTTGCTTTTATCGCTATCCCCACCATTTCTACGTTTGTCTAGGACTTGACATCAGTTGCGTTTATACTGTAGTATGTTTGCCAGTCAAATAGTATCGACTTCTTGCTGGTATATTGTGTTATATGGAATGTAACTGTTAATATCTAATAATGAAGCAATGGAGGAATCATAAAAAAAAGGTTTTAAGAAACGAGAAAAGAAAAGATAAACAATCATGTAAAAGCACTGCGTCTCTGTCAACATGGTTAATAGAACTTCTGGCAACATCACGAAAACTAACGTTTTAACCGGTAAGAATTAACACGCTTTAAAATATCGGAAAAAGAGCCATCCTCTCTCGAACTTAATTTTGGTGAATTTTAAACGAGTATAACTCTTATAAATTTTATTTGCAATTACATGAAATGATAGGAATATGTGAAGTATACGAAGAAACACCTCCGTATTGCATTGTATCACAGAGTACATACATTGAACTTAATTAAGTCAACGCACTTCAATTCATTTGGGGTATACACGAAGAAACTAAGAAGAATATTAAAATATATCTTAGCAACTTAAAGCCAGATAGAGTACTGTAAACGTAATAATAATCATAATAATAATAATCATAATAATAATAATGTCAGTAACAATGACATTGATAGTAATAATGTAAATTAATAAAAAAAGAGCCCTTACTCTGTATAGTAGGTGAGGTAAGGTGTGTGATATGCAGTGGAGTGGAGTGTGGTGACGGGTGAGATGCAGTGGATTAGTAGTATGTGTTATGTGCATTGGAGCGGTGTGTGGTAGGTGAGGAGTATGATGTATAATGATGTGGGGAGTGGTAAGAATTGTGCGGATGTGATTTGCAGAAGAGTGGTGTGTGGTCGGTGCGGTAAGGTGCTTCATGTACAGTGGAGTGGGGGTGTGGTAGGTGCACGCATGCAAGGGAATGGAGTGGGGATGCAGTACAGTGAAGGATGTGGTATGTGCGGTGATGGGAGTGATATACAATGGAGTGGTGTGTGGTAGGCGGACGAGGTGATGGGCTACTCACTGGCGACGCAGCGCGACTCCGCCTCCCGGAAGCGCTCTTTGCAGGCGCACACGCGTCGGTCGCGGCAGAAGGTGGTGATGGTGTCGCACTCCTCATCGTAGTAGCACGCATCGCCCAGGTTTACGTAACCTGAAAGAAGACCAAACTTCTTCAATAACACATCCATTTGAAAACATTCGCATGGCAATAAACAACCTAAGCAAAATATCCCAACTTTATGCACTAACTAAAAAGTCTTCCGATGTGAAAAAATGCAACTAAATCTAACATAAACACATTCCAAACCGAAATGTTATAAAATTCACCGTTCATAAGGCCTCGACCGTAAGAATTGGAATCACATCGAAGAATAATAGACAAAAATTTTAATCCACTTCTCAAGTTTGAAAACTTTGAAAAATGATATTCAAAGAAACTTGGGACGCATCTATTCAGCGCCCCCGCAGGAGGAAATAAAACAAAATAATGAATCTCTTCTCAAGTCCGAAAAAACAGTTCCTTGAACAGGAAAACAATTTTTTATCCATTTAAATTTCCAATATATAATGTGACTAGCGTACTCAAGCGATAGTATGCTGTATCCCACCCTCTTACCGATTCTTCCAATTTTATCTTAAAGGCGAAAATAAACTTAACGTGTTTATTTGTTATAAATGTACTAACTGAACGTACTTTAGCATATCAGTAAAATACCCTCCTGACAATACAAACTATTCTTATTTAACTTTATTACCAAACAGAGAGATACACCCGTGCAATTCAGACGCCAATAATATCAAGAAATTTGTTCAATTTCACGTACACTTGCAGATTCTGAACGTGTTTGAACAGGTGGGTTAGTATTGACTAGCGCCGAGCCAGCAAAAATGAAATAGAATGTTCAAGAAGATCCCAACCTGTGCATTACGGTGTGAAGAAAGATTTTTAGGTCTTTGGACTCAAAATTTCCTGTTTTAAGGCCCTAGAACGCTTCTTTTTGGTGTTATAGATTTTAACAAAGCTGCCCTGGTGTTGCGGGTTGCTTTTGACAGGAATATTTTGATGCGATTTTTGAACAATTCCTTCATATTTTTAAGGTTAAAGTGTAACTCACCACTATGAAATTCTCTTTCTTTGGGGATCTTATTTATAAAAAGTGGTTGCATGTATTAGTCGGGAACTCCGCACCCATACTACTGAAATAATATAGAGGAGGAGCAAAGCCCCGTACCAATCATCTCGGGAGAGGCAGTGTACCACCCTTGCCACGAGCTGGATGCATGCACGCTCACGCTCCACACAAAGCGAATACTAGCTCTCATTTTGCCCTATCTCCTTCATTTGTTCATGCCAAGTTCGTGGCAGCGAGGATAATAACTTCATTGCGGAAGCTGCTGCTCTGGCTCGTTGCGAGGCGGCGTCACCACGCAACATCCCAATGAGAATCAAACAGAAGACTGGTACGTGTCAAACACAGGAGAGGACTTCCAATATAAAAGCAGCCACAACCTCTCTATGGACCATGAAACGACTAGCGTATGCACGCCGCGTTACACCAGTTTCCTTTGTTCTCGACAGAGATATCGTTACCACTCGTTACAGCCCAAACCCTTTCGTAGAAGGTATTGCTTTGCGGCGTTTTCTCCCTGTATCACGACTGCGCTTCACATCAAAGCGCTTTTGGCGTTTTATTTGTCCACCCTCTTCCACACACACATAAGAAGTATTTATTACGTCATCAGAAAAACTGCTGATGGTGCTCGTCCCTCCAAAACCACTGGCGGTGTCACCACATGACTCAACCCGCAAACACAAAAAGGATTGGCACAAAGTGTAAAACAATTCTTCTTAAATTCAAAATTTGCACTTTTCTGAATATTTAAAATGTAATTGTTCCGTATAAATTTCACTTATAGACGTGTGCAAATTATTAGAACAATTTAGTAATGTACTAAATGTTAAAATATAATTATCACGATTTATCAATGGACAATATCCTCTTTAGTTGGTACGACCCTTGACGTGCATTCCCTTGTTTATTATATCCATCGCTTGTTCTATATTATAAATTTGTATTGGCATGCTTTCCTGCAGGTCCGTGCACATTTTCTGAATTTGTTCATCAGGAAACCATATGTCTACGATGTTTACGAAGTGGGCAATTCTGGTTATTGTTTTCTTCAATCTTGTCTTAACAATTCCCCATCAATTTTCAATTGGGTTGCAGTGTGATCTATTATCAGGGCAAGACAATGCCTTTATGTTATTTTCTTCCAAGTATTTCTTTACAGTCTTGGCATAATGGCATGGTGCTTCGTCGTGCATAAAATGCAATCTTTTTCAGGAAACCAATCTCTGATCTGAGGTACCAGGCGGGTTTTAAGCACCTTTTTGTACTGATTCTGCTCCATTATGCCCTCAACAGTGTTTAATCTGTCACATCCACGAACTGCCATGCAACATCATACTATAACTGAAGTTGGATATTTGACTATCTGAGTGATACATTTTGGAGAAAACACCTCATCAATGGCCATTCTCACGTACAGCCTGCTTTTCATGGACACAGAAAAAACGGACTGGTCTGAAAATATTACCTTCAAGATAATAGACACTAATTTTATTGACTTTGCAAAATTAGTCGAAATTTATAGACATGTTAGCCTTTTACTCATTGCCAACATTTTTGAGAACCTGATCCTAGACAGAAAAAACAAGTATATTTAACAAGTGCAGGCAATCCTGCAAATTGCAACTTCAAAACAATGTACCAAAACCATAGAACACATCATTCCTCATTATTTTTTATATAATCAATTACCCAATTGTCTAATTACCTAATTGCCTTATAACATCGTACAGCATCAGGAAGTATAAAAATAACTTCAAGATTTCCAAAAGAAAAGTTAAAACGTCTTTAATTATCTCAAAGTCACAATTATCCTCAACAGTCAACATTAAGCCTAATAAATGGAAAATAATCAATAAACAAATAAATTATGACAATAGTCCTCATATAGAGAATTAAACTTCGAAATAAAATTATCATCAACAAACAGAAATAACTTTAAAAAAGAAACCGTACATACATTGGAATCAGTGAATCTATACATGTTAGTCTCGGCCTGTGAGACGCAGTGACTTTCAGCGTCATACAAGTACGTGAAATCTAGGGTGCGCGTTTGAGACTAGATTAATAAATGGGTATTTTCACCATCACTTTCTGCCGTGGTCGTCGTCTCATATTACCACGCCTCTTATATCTCATCATCAATCACTCCTCATTATCCCTTTTTTTAAAAAATTTGTTCTAGCTTGTCCATTGGCCCTCCGCAGCCGCATAAGATAAATATATTAATATGATTTATATACAAGAATCATTTGAGACATTATAAACAGAAATTTAGTTTTGGATATAATGCAATACAGTAGTTAATAATTAGAAGACTCATAGGTTTATGTCTATGAGGGATCGAAAAATTCTCTTGGTAACTTTCTTTTTAATCTTTTACGGTGAGGATTTTGCTTACGTATGTGAAAGTGAATAGCTGAAGGGATCTTTAGTATTTTGGAATAGAGTTTTACGGATAAGAGGGAGAAATAGACGGCGATTGGTCTAATGCCAAGTTCATTATGTAAGTGCACATTCGGAATGTACCAAGGAGCTTTTGTGATGGTGCGTAGGAATCAATTTTGTTTTTTTTTAATTTGCATTTTGTGGATGCAGTAGTCACCTTTAAAAGAGTCGCCACAGGATGCCAGCGAAGGGACAGCGGCACCGCAAGAAGATACGGGCGCCGCTCACAAGAGGGCGCTAAAAGAGGGCGCACCGGAGCCTTCTCGCTTGGCTAGGTGGAATAGAGCGCGCCGTCGGCCGTGTTCAGTCAGCGTGCCCCTAGCCCAGGAGGGTTTAAGACGGCGCGCAGCGAGCGGTGAGGCAGTTGGCGTCTTCCCGCAGTGTAGTGAACATCGGAGGGCGAGTACTAGTGACTACGTGATCGGTCTGTGGAACGGACTTAGCCCCCTGGATTTTGTTGTTAGTGACTACTGCTGTGTTAATTGGACATTTACTCGGTTTATGGTAATTTTGGCTAGTCTTGGTACATCTTGAGGATAATTGGTGATAACGCTTGTTAACGGTTATTCTGTACCCTTGGAAATTGTAATAAACTTGTTTTACAAAAAAGTACTTGTTTTGGACATAAGAGTTAATGTTTGTTTTGGCTGCGGCAGCCCAGTCTGGCGAAGCATACGGAAGTATGGGCCGTATCAGTGCTTTATAGAGGTGAATAGCAACATGTAGTTGTAGGGGGGGATGATTTTTTAAGAATCGGATATAATTGATGAACTCTACTAGTCGCTAGCGTTATTCGGCGTTTGATATTTTGCTGCCGTGTAAGCCTGTTATCGAACAGAACTCCAAGATATTTGACAGTTTTGTTCGGAGGGAGACAGGTGATGTTTTGTGATTGGTATGTGAGATTTGGAGGGACGTCTCGCTTACAAAGGGTAAACATTTTTGCTGGGCTTTTATTAGGATTTAGGTCAATGTGCCATTTTTTTGACTCAGATTGAAAATAATTTGAGGTGATGCTGCAGATCTTTCACGGCACATTGAAGATTGCTATTGAAGAAATAAAGCACTGTATCATCAGCAAATCGAGCTATTGCACTATTTTGGGTGCTTGGTATATCCGAAGTGTTGACATTAAATCAAGTGAGGTAGAGGATGGATCCTTGAGGTACTCCTGCTCTGATGGTGAAAGGTGTGGAGAAAGCTCCGGGGAGACGCACAGAGAATGTTCGGTTGGTAAGAAAACTTTCAATGATGCGTGAAAGATATAATGGAGTACCTATATCATTCATTATTCCCTGTAATATTTTATAGAGTGTAAGGCAAAAGAAAGAAAAGGGACGTCAGATATGTATAAGCCAACTCTTCGCACCTACCGTCACAAATTAGAACGCCACTCATATCAGGTACGTTCAGTGTGTGCAATGGCTGTGCAATGTGTGTGCAATGTGCCACATACTAGATTATCGGAATCAATATCGTGATAATGAATGAAAGCTTTGATCCATCGGAAGGTCGCATATGCAAGTACAGTAGTAATGGCAAATTTTAGCAAAACATCGATACTTCAATACATCACCAAAAGTTTTTCAATGTCGATAAAAACATCGACGAAAACATCAATATGATTCATAGCATATCAATATTAGTTTAAAGTATGTTCTGTCTTAAATTAGACTATCATCTTAATTTTCTAATCAATTTTCTATGTAGTCAAGGTTCAAATTGTAGTTTAACGATATTATCATGTACAAAATAATAAAAAAGGTAACAGCATTGGAGATAGTTTTTAATTGCTCGTTTCGTGCCCCCTGAGGATTAACAATATCGACTTTGGCTGTTGATTGCGAACAATCCACCAATAAAGTAGATACTGGAAATTTTATATATCATGGGAACGGTTTTGGAAAACATCGATGTTTCTAAACAAATGTATCGATTTGAAGAAAACATTCATGTCATAATACTGATGTTTCTGCTCTAAAACATCAATTTTTTCCCTATTGTGGAGTCATCATACGTTGTGATTGCAGTTGCCTTCATGTGTTCGATTATCGCCAAACAGGTAAAAGCTCTTGTGTCGTCTGACAATCTACATTTTCTCATCTCGGATGAGTGCTTAACACACAATCATGATTTGTAAGTAGAGCACCAAAACATAGGGTACATCTGATGAGGACAAGACTTGGCAAGGACCTCCACGTGGCTCACAAAGGCCCTTTCACACCGCCCAAGTCCTTTTGATACGACAAACACTGGAGACATCGGTGGTTTGCCCTTCCCTTGGTCAGTATCACTCACAAGGGACGCCCTTCATCTCGTACTCTCAGCACCGTAGAGAAACATGCTTGAAAAAAAAAGGGTGGATCGTCACCTGAAAATATTTGGATAGTCCGATGCACCTAAAAAAATATAATTGTTTTCACTTACAACCTGTCGACGGGTGGCCCTTTCATTTATCGTATGGCATGAATTTTCTGGGATACGGCTTCGTAATGGCCGTAGAGTCGGAGATCCGGAAAACTCATGGCCGTCGTTAGGTCTCCCTGGTAAATCGTTAGTGTTGATATGAAATGATGAATGTGATTAATGAGTAAGAAGATGGAGAATTTTGGTGATGGGGTATGGGAGTCACTCGAAAGGAGAAGATTAAAGTCACGTCCCTTATGCAATGTATAAAGCGTACACAGGCCTTCGAGCGTGGAAAGAAATTCAAAGTCGATTAGGAAAACCTACATATTTCGGCAGAACGAATCATATGCACAAAATTCAGACAAGAATTCAGAAAACGGACGTTGGGAAATATTCATTCGCGAATCGAACTATTAGAGACTGGAACGGTTTGCCTGTGACAATCTTCGATTCCTTTTCTCAAAGCCTGAACAAATTTAAAAATAAATTAGTTTCTTGAATGCTGATATTTGTGTTATAAATATATTTAATAGAATTCAGTGTAAATAAATATTTCTAGTGCAGTGGCGTTCTGAAACTGAGAGAAACAAGTGTGTAAGGACATTACAGCTTGCTGTTTTGCAGTGCGGTGAAGTGAAGTGTGGTGGAGTTCTGTGAAAGATTGAACGGTGAAATGTTCACATGAATTTGTAAAGTTTGTAGATTTTGTAAAGTTGTTAAGTTCTTTAATGTTAAATTTGTGTATTCTACCTCCAAGTTCTCACACTTAATTGCAGAATTATTAATAAATCTAATCTAATCTAAATGAGAGAAGGGAAACGACAGAACCCCCAGGAAACCCTATTTATCCACCACAAATTCCACTTGGATGGAGCGGCGATCGATTTGTTGCCCCAGATGTTGAAGGAGAACAAACTGACTGTAACACCACGTGTTTGCCGTGAAGACGGAATTTTGTATGAGCTACCCGGACTCGCGTGTGCTGGCGAGAAAGATTTGACTGTTGTAGTACTCTTAATGGGGTTGCTGTTTTCAGTGCAAACGATATCTATGGCGGTGAATCCCATTAATATTGTCAAAATATTAGAACTAAGTTTTGGCACGCTGACTATGGAAACCCAGTTTCCAGGATTTGGGGTTAGCGATTTGGTCACATAGCAAAATAATTCAGGAATTAAAAAATAATCCAGAACCGCACGAAATACACAACGCAGCTCGTTGTGTATATGTCGTGAATGTTCATTCCCGCCTGAGTTATGGCATAATATTTTGGGGAAAAACATCTTATATTTCCCATACTTTTAGATTTCAAAAACGAATTCTACGATTAATAAGTAAATTCCACCCGCGTGATTCTTGTAAGCCTCTCTTTATTCATCTAGGTATTTTACCATTACCTTGTCTCTTCATATATTAATCAGTGGTTTTTATCAAAAATGACTTACTTAAGGGCGGAAATATATTTTCAGTAAACGCCGTTATCTATAACTACACTCGACGTAGTAATCATATTCATCAGGTGACAGTATCCACAGCTCACTACAAAAAATTCACATATAATACCTGTACGTTATTTTACAACATCTTGCCAAATGACATTAAACGATTAAATTCGATACAAAAGTTCAAGTCCCAAGTAAAATCTTTTCTGCTGCACAACTGTTTCTATACAATTAGAGACTATACCGAGCATCCAAAAGTAAAGTAATATTAATTTTAACAATGACATGTAATGTATTTTATACAATTTGTATTGTATAATTATAAAGAACCTTTAACAAGTATTGTACTTCAGCTTCTGGGTTAATGACCCCCATCTCGATCAGGTTTTCGTTCACTTTCCCTGATCCTCGAGCAAATGCTGAGATGGCCCCTTGTTTTACTTCTGGACATTAATGTAACTTCAAATTAACTTCTCCCCATAGCACGTTACACACAGTTTTAAACTGTGTTTGACGTAAATAAAAAAATAAATTCACTGCAACGTCGAATCGACAATACTTAAATGCTATCTTCTCTCGGTTTGGATCACTGATACCGAAAAACACTTTCTTCAAAAATGTCTGTTTGTTCTTTTATTTTTGTAGAATACGTGCATCTTACTTTCTTCTCCCAAGGATCAAATTATCTGCTTTGCTGCCACTTCTTCTGTGGCAAAAAACCTAATGAGTTTGAATACTCTGGTCTTTGTGTGGATACCACAATCCAAAGAAAACACTCCTCTAGTGACTTTCGCATAACAGATTGTGCTGGCATGATGCAGGGTTGATGTCGTACCGACTTATCGCTTGTAAACTCGTGATTATGAATCACTATTTATCTACCTACTCAGCGAGCAATGCAATCCCAGTCCTGTTTGTTACGCATATTGGAAGAATACATGTCTGTGGAAGTGATGCGTTTAAACAATGATTCCGCGTAGAACGAAAATATTAAAGACGAAGTAAATTTGTTCATCTACAAAATTTTTCTATAATCTTGAAGACATTTATAATTTGTTCATCTGGATTGTAATAAGCTATTTACAGGTTATTAAATTTAATAAATGAATCAAATGTGATATACCACTGATAAAGAATTCAGTTTAAAACTTTTTCTTGGAAAAATAAGAAAATTAACAATAGATCTTCCATTTCATTTCTTTTTCACACTTATTTTTAAAAGATCCCTACCTTTTTTTGAACAACGCCCATAATTAATTATCTCCATCGAATTTGCAAATTGAAGTCTGTTACTGTAAATAATAAATTATCCCTTCAGTATTTTTATTTATTTTAATTTTATTTACAATACGTCCAACAGGTTACCCCAGTTAAGAACTATCTCATTATACAAAAATAAGTATTACAGGCACTGATATAATTATTTATATTCCCTTTAATAGAATTAATAGAATCAACAATAATATCTCTCTTGGTATCGCTATTAGCCACAAAAATATTAGTTAACTCCATTAAATTGGACAATTTAGATTTATGCATGTTCCTATTACTAGAAACAGAATTTTAAAACATTCTAAATGAGCAATAACTAAACTGAGGGATCAAAAATGAACCCTGAGTCAGCAGGTCAGGCGCATAAACAATTCCTCGAATAACTTTAATGAATGTAGTATTGGTTGCAATTCCCTCCCGCTGTCAAGGCCAAATCTTCTGTACAGGTATTCATTCACAATACCACTAACTGGATAATGTCCATTATCCTTGAAGTCTAAAAAGTTTGCAAAACATCTCTAAGTCTCAAGTGACATAAACCAATTCTGTCAGGGAACCAAACAACTGCTGCATATTCTAGATTTGATCTAACAATTGAAAAATAGAGTTTTGCAGTGCTGTTAATAAAAGTTAAGAAAGTAAAACATTTCATTAAGCTCATTTTCATTGAAATATTTGGAAACTTTTAAACATAAGAATTAATTTAAAGCACTTATACTCACAAATGCAGTAACGCCGTATTTAGGCGAATCTAATGCACACTAGTGCATATTTGAAACTGAAAAGTATGAAAACAGTTTTATGTCGAATGTATTGCGTACCAATGACAAAATAAGAGGTACGGTATTTTATTTAAATTTATGTAATAGAACAGTTTATCGTATACATTATTAGCATTCTAGCTGCTTTACATTTTAATGAAGCATCATAAGACATCCTTATCTGTTTGCCCTTCATATCGTAACTAAAAATCCTTAACAATAGGCCTATGATAATTGAAACGAAGTTGAATTTGAAAAATCCAGCAAATCGTGACGTAATAAACGAAAAAATTGCAATTACTGAGTTTCTACGAAACGGATTTGTAGTCGAAAAATTGCGTAATATTGCATTTAATATTGCATTTGGTCAAAAAAGGTGCCCATTATATTTGGTAAATACGGTGTTTTTAAAGACTCCCAGATTGTAAGTACAAAGGTACAAACGACGAGAGAAAGTGTGTGTGTGTGTGTGAGAGAGAGTGAGAGAGAGAGAGAAGAGAGAGCGGAAAAAGAGAGAGAGGAAAAAGAAAGAGAGGAAAGGGAGAGGAGAGAAGGGAGGAGAGTGAGGGGAGAGAGAAGTGAGGGGAGAGAGAAGTGAGGGGAGAGAGAAGTGAGGGGAGAGAGAAGTGAGGAGAGAGAGAGAGAGAGAGAGAGAGAGAGAGAGAGAGAGGGAGGGAGGGAAAGAGAACCGGCAGACAGACTGATAAAGAGACACGGGTACAGGTAGACGGTCAAACGTTTTGGAACTAGTGGTGCTATAGAATGACTTTCTCACATTAGTTTTCTAATCATTTTAGCCTAGGCTACCTTTTCGGTATCGTCTCACATTACCAGCTTCTACCTATCGGCTCTAATACGAAATTGTACCGCATTTCTCCGTTTGTCGGTCTCCTAACAGTAGAATCGAAATATGACTTTATTACAAAATGGTTCAAAATATTACAAAATGGTAAAGCAGTCATAAATGTAAATATTGTTTGAAAAATTTGAAACAGGTCTGGAAAAAATGTCGTTAGAATGTTTTTCAAAATGCGCAATTATGAGCTCATTTTCACAGAGAAGTTTTGAGAAACTTCCTCAGAAAACATTTAAAGCACTTACACTCACAAATGCAATAATGTAAAGTAAAAGCTCCTAAACTAAATATTAAAGTGAGAGATTTTTAAAATTACAAAAGTGTATTTTTTAATAATAAAAAGAATAAACGAAATGGCATTACTAATATTTTATTCAGTATATTTAGCACTAACCGTACAAAAATTGAAAGAAAACAATTTGATTTGGTTTAGAAAAAATGCCATTCAATTTATTCGGAAAATGCTCATTTTCACCGAAAAATGTTACATTTTTTAGAAACTCTGTAAGGCATCATTTAAAGCCCTTGTCCTCACAAATGAAATAATGTACACACATAGTCGATAATTAAAATATTATCGACGTGAGAGATATTTAAAAAAAACATCTGAGTACTTTTTTGAAAAAAATACTTCAAAATTGCGTTTATGATGTTATACAGTGCATGTGGCATTATCTGCACAATAAGTTTCAGGATATCACTTGTCGTCTATCGCTGTCCATACTACGTTTTCTACATTTTCTCAATTTTTCGGATCCATAATAGTGGAACTAAATCATTGCTGAATGTTGTAGAAGAGAAAACCCTCGTCCTTCATGGAAATTTTAGTTGAAAAATGGGGAAAATGTTCCGTTGAAATCTCTTAATCGATTATTCCGCAGAGTTACATAACTTTCTCTACACCGCGTATTTTACACTAAAAGTGAAGAAAAAATAGTAGGTAAAAATTCTCAGAAGGAAGTTCCTAATCTTGAAGCTTCCTAAAGACTTTCTTAGGGCTTTCTAATCTTAGAGCTGTGCTAATAGGATTAACACAGTTTGTTTACGCCCCCGACTTATTGGGTAGCGCTGATTCGCTTTGGGAGAGAGCGTCTGAGCGTCACCTCTAAAACACATTCTTATCGATAAGAGATAGCGAAGGCTACACCTATTATCAGTGGTGATAACATTCGTTGATCAAATATTCCAAGCAATTATAATTCTGAGTCAGCCGCGCTCTTAGACTGTCCATAATCCTAAGAACGTTAAAGTTTTCACACCTTACAAGCAGAATATGGCACATTCTTGGAAAGTACGATTTATACCTACATTTAAATAACGTATCTCCTGTTTCAAATATAATTTCTTTTTCTGTGTACATTTCAGGGAGATATGGTTAACATGGAGTCAGATATTCTCCATAACCTATTAGTTGTTTATTTTTTTGTAGGAGAAAACCACAAAAAAGGTAAATATAAACCGAACAATTAATCCTTTTTCAAAGCTCTATCAGCGATGAAAATGTACTCAATAAATCAAGTAATAATGAGATTATAATAAATGGAAAGAGTTAATGGTTTCATAAATGGAAATGTTAATTCTACATCAACACGAACGTAACACATAAATATACGTATACAGGCAATTTTAAATGTAAACTATTTAATTGAAACAAATATTCTTTGAAGTAATTTATTTTTGTAATAAATAACAATTATTCATTCGTTTTTATTTAATCTTGATATTATTTTTAATAAATGTTACATGTCATTCAATTCCTTTTTGCTATTTAGAAACCTGCTCTCTTTTATTAATAGGTTTCCCGTGTTTTTACTTCGACGTGAAAACTATTTATTTGACAATTTATCTGTTTCCTATTTGAATTTGGATTCACTAGGGCAAAAGGGCAGTGAGAGAGCAGGCATGAACGGAAATGCCAAACTTGCATTAAGAAAGCCGAAGTTTTCACTCGATATACACAACAAAATAGTCAGATAAATGTTTATTTATAATTCAAAGTGAGTTTTTTTCACATAATTCGCTCTGTACTTTTAGGCTAAAAAGCACTTATAGCTCAATTCTGTCAGCCATGTTAGAGAGAACATTTTTGAAGCAATGCATTCCCTTTTACTCACCCAACTGCTTTATCTCATGAATTATCTTAAATCTTCTTATCTCAAGCTAGTGTCAGGGACATCAGGGGATTGGGTAGTTACGAATCTGAAAGAGTGTTAGTAGTTGAAGCTGAATCCAGAGTCTGATGCTAAGGAATCATAAGACATCTTGCTGACAAGTGCATTCAATGAATATCCAAGAAGAAGAGCAATTTATTAACATTTTTAGTAATATAACATATCATGTCATTTTTTCACGAATACACACGTTAGAAAATAACAGAAAAGTCGGGTATATGGTGCAGCCTGACTGAAATACTTCAATCGTACTGCGATATTGTGAATATCCTATTTTTGTGTGATCTTTGTATTTTCTCGACCAAAACTCCTGCACTTGTTCTCTATAAATGCACTGAAATGCTCTGTTGCTGCTTCATGCCCTTCAAAATCTGAGAGACGTACTGAAGTCAAAACAGAAATGGGAAAAGATGTCATGAACGTAAGGCCAAAGAATATGTTTGCCTTTAATATAACCTAACCTTGAGCAAATTCTCTCGACCGAAATCAGTTGGTCCAAACGACGAAGTTTCTAAGGAACGTTTCTGGTCTAAAGCCAAAGGAGCAAACGTTTTCGAGGCCTTGGTCGAGCATTGCAATATGGAAACTCTACTTTTCCAGATGAACCTAGTTTTCCATAACCGCTTTCGAACTACTCGTTTGTCTACAGCATTTATTTTCTTATCTTCTTGAGTTTCTTTTTCAACTTGAATTCGTCTCCTCAGCTTGGGAAGTTCACGAACGCAGCAACATGGTTGGCTGTGCTCTCCAAGAACAAAATGTGAGTATTTTGGAAAACTATTGAAACATCTAGTACCCTACGAAGAAGTTCTTTAGGCCTACACCTTTTGTACTATGCCTTTTGACAACCCTAAATCGTAAGCCGCTCTCGAAAGCTAGGTTTTAACAACCCATGGTGTACCGTTCCTGAGATATTTGCCATCAAAGTATAGGGAGAAGAAAACACACAAATACCCAGGAGAACTTTAAATACTCTTAAGAACATTTTAGATTATGGATTGTGAAGACCTATGGTGTGTCAGTTACAGTTATGTGACGTTGAAGTGATGTGAGATGTTTGAGGGGTTACGCAAAAAATACTTTATTTTTATCTTATTTGAAGATCTGTTTTTGATAAACAGATTTCATTAAGAAAGTAAAATTTATCTTCCCATTTGTAATTGTAGGAAAGGCGCCGACTTATTTTTTAAATATTTTTGAAAATAATTTCTCGGCGAATCCTTTCAAATCGTGGGGTTTGCGATCTGACGGGCCTTCATCTTGTTACGTTTGTGCAGTGATGAGTTATATTCGATTTAAAGCTTCCAGGTATCCTAGACCGCACCAGCGTTTATAGATGTATGTTTTTGAAATACATGTCTTCCTATGTAATCGATATTATTTAGTAACGTCGTTTATTAGAATACGGATAAAAATACATTGTTTATATTACAAAGTGCCTTTTTTTCAATTTGCAGTTTTACATTTGAAATGTCGACAATCATCGACAACGAAATCCTGGAATTGTTGATGGATAGTAGTAACAAGTAGTGATTTGGACAGAAATTGCTATTTACTCGTACTACACATAATTGTAACTAAGAGCGAGAAAGTACTCGTATGTGATGTTTTTGCACCATTAGTTGTTTAACAATAAGGCCTGCACAACAGACGAGCACAGCTTTGGGCAACAGTATTCGAGGTCAACCGAGCGAAGTGGCCCAGAGCGGCGTAGCGCGCTGACTTCGTATTCGGAAGGCCCTGGTTCAATCACCGTGAGGGACATCCTGACTGATGCTTTCGTGGTTTCCCTCAATCATCCAGGAGAATGCTAGGATGGTTCTCCTGCAAGGCCACGACCGCGAAACCGGCATCGCTAGCCGAATTTGTTAACTACGTGAAGCTACGAAGATTAAGTGAATTGGAGACATCGCGTGTTCCTGGTTGGGTGGCTGTCTAGGAACCGCGCGATCCAGCGGCCAATTGCCCTTTGTGGGTCGTATAATACCAATACAAAAAATTCGAGGTCAACTGGGTTTCTACCAACATCAAATCAATACCAGCACGATTCACCCAAAACGAAATACTAAAAAAGACTTAAAAGTCAGGGTTTGTATACGTTCTGTAAAATACGGGACGGTCCCGTTTTCCTACATTTTGTCCCGTTGTCCTGAAAAACTTTTTTCGAGACGCCGAAATTTCGCGTATTTGGCTTCGGCTTTTTCGCTGTTGGTTCCCGAGTCAAAAAATATTAATTACTACTTGAATCCCGCGAAACCACAAAAAAGAGACTTTCTAAAACACGTCCAGTAACTCGAACATCTCGTAGTTCTGGTTTTCATAATATTTTCAGCCATACTACTCCAAACATATCTCTAAAGTAATATTGTTTTAGGGCTTATTTATCTAAAATGATGTAACGTTGCTAAAACTTAATATATTGAAAATGAAAGCGGACAAAATTACCCTTGAAATTGTTTCTGTCCATTACTCTGTTCCTCAAACTTTTCGAGATATTTTCTGAAGGAAATCTATTTTTTTTTTCAAAAAACAGTTGTCTTTTTCTTTTAGTTCCTCATCTCTTAATTACTTTCTCCTTCACATCGCAATAGAAAAGAACAGTTAGATCTTAAAGACACGACTCCTGTCAACCAGTGTTATAATAGAAATGTAAAGGAAAATTGAACATCCAATAAATAGACATGTCGATTTCGATATTCCGCAATACTTCTAGGAGAAAAATTAGGTATTCCGATTTTTCTAAACAATACATGAATTCTAAAGTTATTATATAAAAATAAATGTCGCACGTCTTATTACAGGAAAGGTGAATAAATTTTGAGCGTATAATGTGAATATTGTGTGGGCACATATAATAAAATCTGTTTGTTTCGCGATGTCAAGAACCAAGTTAAAACATCATTAGTTTGCTATTATTATTATTATTATTATTATTATTATTATTATTATTATTATTATTATACAGTAGAACAACGGAGGGCAGAATGTTATGGCGGCAGCGACACGGCATTTTTTTGGCCTTTATGATGATGATAATGTTGATGATTATACTGTAAAAGGGAATGACCACGCCGGATCTTCAATGAATGGCTTGTTTCGAAAAGGCCACAAATCTATCACTTGTTCGGTGCCCGCACATTTTTGAAAACCCCAAGATCTGTGAAGACACGGCCTTTCTAAGTAAGCAAGAAACCACACTACTCGACGAAATTAACGAACAGAGGTTGTGCGGCGTTTTCACAAGTAACTAAACTAAAAGAATATCCTAAACAAAATGGCAAGCTTAACTAATTTTCGGGATAATTGGAGAAGAAACATTTTCTAAACACATAGTTTATTCAAATAGTTTCTCGCCGGTACTTAAATTTCGACACATTTGGACTCTTTATTACTTTCTCGTATACGTACGTGTATATGGAATATCATACGTAGTGTAAAGAAAGTTAAGTAACGCTTCGGAAAATTGATTGGGAGATCTTAATGGAAATACACTCAAACTGATAACCTGCCATTGTAGCAGCAGTAACTGATCTATCAACTCTGCCAGACACTGTTTGTCTTATATAGTCGTTGCCGACCGGAGCGCCGTATTCTGATTGGATACATATCTCTATTTCAATACGCATCGCTGTAACAGTTTTTTGGGCTCTTCTGTATATATAATGTGTGTGTGTGTATGATAAATCATAAAATCCTCAATTGAAATATTTCATAAAAGTAATATAATTGTGTAAATCTAGAAGTGCTGTAAATATTGTGTAAAACAATATTTTTTAGAGTTTGCTAACGACTGTTGTCAAAGATATTCAGATTCGTAGATTCAATCCTTCAAAAAGCATTTAAGGCCGGGAATGTACAAATAGATGTTTCGTTATATTACTAGTTTTATGAAATTATTATGTCACATAGTCGTAGAACGTGATATGGTCTCGAGAGGTAGCAGATTGGCCCGGGTAAACCGAAGGCTGTGGGTTCGAAGCCTGCGTAAGGAATGATTGCTTTCATTTATGTTAGTGGTGTGGGAAGCGTTCCGTGATCCTCGTGCATGCACCTTAATCCTTCCATAATGCTTTGTCCTGACAGACAACTGTGTGTGGAAATATTATTAACCTGTTCACATCCCTTAGTAGGACAAGGCGTCTTACATTCTAAGGTATTCTAAATAAGCTAGACAGCTTGTAAGTTGCTATTTTAGTCTTATTTTCTGTTACTTCTCACTGGTCCCTTATTTTTGTTCACGTCTGATTAACACATTACTATCAATTTTCACTATCAGTTCACTTATAGATCGCTTTTCATTGTGCTCTTTATTTTTGTGTCTCTGTTCTTGTTTATGTTCTTTTTTTCTCTATCGACTTCGTCGAGTGCGAGAATGACTTCTCTCGTTGCTGCTTTCTCGGTCTCCTGCTGTTCTGGTTCATGTGTGTAATATGTAAGCGAAATTGAGTAACTAAATATCTACTGCCAGAACAATGGTACCAGCACCGAAATGGGTCAAGGTTAAACAATGGGCCAATCTGTATAAGTACAGGGCCGATTTTGGCCTGTGCAATGTTCAGGGAGCACGGAGGTGCACTTCTCTGGGAGTGTCCCCTGAAGAGCTGTAGGTTCCATGAGAGGCTTTTGTAGATCTTCTAGGCGCCAATAGATGGTATTTGATTTGATGAAAACTGTATGATAAGTGTGGGGGAGTTGTAACATCGTCTCACGATTTCTTGAGCTCCAGAATCTCTTCCCAACATTTTAACTTATGATAAATAATGGTTACAAAAAAAGCGGCGTTAGCAACTAGACATTTTCGCTCCCGAGTTATAGAAAATTTATTTGTGTTGATAAACAAACTGATGATTTTAATTTTTTCTATTACAAACAAAATAGCAGCATACCCGCAGCTATACTCCTATCACCATTAGCATAAAGTTGGTCTCAACAAAATGTGTGCGTAGTGATGCTACGTTTATGTGGTAGTTGGAAACTAAGTCGTGTGAGAAAGTCTGTGTCACTCTGTAGAACCACGTTTCCAATAAATTATGGAACACCACAACATCGTTAAATTTTGACTTTTTGTCATTCATGTCGTTTTAATTCTTCCATGGTAACGGCTTTTTCGAAATTAAATGTCTATTAGCGTAGAGTAATAATTTTACGGGAAAAAATTGTGACCGTAGAAGGTTGAATCAAAACGAAAGTACTACGGTATCATGAAGACGTTTCATAAATGATACGTGGAATTTTCTAACATTAATGGTTATTGTATTGGATATTTGGTTCGTGTCAGTGAAGTCAAATGGTCCACACTATCACCATGCCCAAGGCCCTGATTTATGAAAAATACACAGGAGGCAAATGCTGGCAACTTCATGAGAATAATGAAGAAATAAATTATTTTAAAGAAACCAGTAACGCTTGGTGTGGTATCTGCTTTCATTAGGCATTTAAATTCGATATGCTTAATATTTATTAGTAAGCTTTTTCAAATAACAGAAGACTTAATTTTCGTTTGAATTTGATTGAACGTGCAAAATGGAGGAAATTAAAAGTCGATAAGTTGTAACAATATAAAACGTGTAACACGTAACTTGAAAAACCCCTCTCTGAAATAAGTTTATCTTTACCCTAGGTTCCTCGCATTCCGTAACCTCTCAGCGTCAATACCCGAATTATTAGGGCGTGGTTTTTTGTCCATCGTCATAACCGAGACTTTAGTTCTCGATATTTTCCAAAAATATTGTTAAAATGAAGAAGTCTGGAATCCAAATAGTATAATGAGAGCAATACAGAAAAAGATGTATGATTCACATGTAGAGTTCGCGCGTGGAATTGTGTACTCGATTAGGGAGATGGTCAGCACACTAAACTGCAGTCTCGTAAACATCGATTTCTCAGCTTTCTGTCAGGCAGTCACGACACAAAGAAGTTACAATTTTACAAAAACGTTACTGGTGATGACAATACCTAGCTAGCATAGGACATGGACAGTACTTTTTAAATTACGTCAAAAACTGTTGAGGCTGCGAAATATTGACCGTATATTCGTTAGATATGTTGGGAGAGCAATTAGCAACAACTGCGAGATAATTTTTCAATCAAACAAGTGTGTTCTGGAAATGAAACGACACACAAATGACAAAGATTGTTACTTTGGAGAAAGAATCAACGAGTATTGAAGAGATTTACATTACTCTGTCCAGACGAAATCAAACGTTTCGTTACGAATTTCGTCGTTTTTCGTCATGTTACACTGCAAAAAGATTGCCTGGCACACCCTGAATCGAATCTTGAATGCGTCCAATACGTTTGTACTGAGCTTTTTGCACGTCCCCTCTGATGACAATATGAGCTTGTGGCGTCTGAAGTGGAAATAGCTGTATTCCAAGAATTTCGACAATGCCCGCCACATGTTTTCGCACGAGGAGGTGCCCAGGAGCTGATGCGATCTTTCGGTGACGCTCCGAACAAACAAGAAGCAGTTGACAATCTACATCAAGGAACTTTGTACGAAAGAAGTGAGTATCTGGCCAACTGGGAAGAAATTTGCGCGACTCATTTTTTTTGGATTAAAATAGACTATCTCCTAGGCGCGAAGTTTGAAATGTATGATCTTTTCCTCCGAAATACTGCAGCAAAACTGCAGTATTCGAAACATGGTGCCAAATTTGAAACACTTTGGCGGTCAATGTGCCAACAAAAACAATTAAAAACTGTGCGCGATGTGCTACGGAGAGAAGTGTGTTCGATGCACGTTTTCTTAATTCTGGAATCCCCACCCTAAGCCATATACAAGTTTAATTCTGAATATATAAAGAAAAAAATAATACAAATTTGCGCTCTTATCCATCATTATGCCCTTGAAGGTATAATATTTCCTGCAGCGACAACATGGAGAACATGCATTTTAGAAGGCGTGCACAGTAATGAAGTTACATTTATATCCAGAAGCAAAACAATGGGCCATCTCAGCATTTGCACAAGGGTTCAAGGAAACTGGATGAAAAACCTGATCGAAAAGGGAATCATTGACTCCGAAGCTGAGGTATAATGCTTGTTATAGGTTGTTTAGAATTATACAGAACAAACGGTAAATAATACTTTAAATATTATTGCTAAAATTAATATAATTTTTTTTATGCTGAGTTTAGTCTAATTGTATAGAAACAGTTACGCAACAGAAAAGATTTTACTTGGGACTTAAACTTATGAATCGAATTTTATCGTTTAAGGCTATCATCTGGAAAAGTATTGTAAACTAATTTACATGTATTGTACGTGAACGTTACGTGACGTTAAGTATTGTAGTAAATTTCTTTTTGTGGTGAGCTGTTGGTACTACCACCTGATGAAATTGATTTCGACGTCGAGTGTTATAGTTATAGACATCAGCGTTAGCTGCCAATATCCCCCCCCCCCTTGAGTAAGTCATTTTTGACCAAAATCATTTTATTCGTAAATCAAGACACAAGGTAATAGTAAAATTCCTAGATTAATAAAGAGAGGCTTACAAGAATCACGTGAGTGTTATTTGCTTATTATTCGTAAACTTATTTTTGTAATCTACGGTAAAAGTCTGGGAGCTGTAAGATGTATTTCCCCTGAATATTATGGCTTATCTCAGTCAGGGTTGAACGCTCGCAAAATATACACAAGCATAATGAAGTCTGACTGAATTTATCTGACTGACAGTACCTCCCTGCTCGTGTGTCTCGTTCACTTTGTTACGGTTATCGAGTGCACAGAAGAAATCTCGTGCAGATTCTACTACGCACTATTCAACAGACAGAATTAGTGTATCCCAATGAACCTATTCACTACTTCTAAAAGATAATTTATTTTCTTTCTAAAAAAGCTTTCATAAGAAGGATCGACTACGAATGAATCACCATTAGCTTTAGAGAGGCAGTGAATTACCTGAAAATTTCCATGGAAAACAATATGAAGATATATTTCGGGATACTTTTTATTGGTTGTTCACATTATTATCGTAACTTCTCTACTCTTCTCTCACGAGTAATCAGTTTTTTGTTATATTGATTTGGATGCATTGATTTTGTATTTAAAATTATTAATCTAAAAATGAACATAAAGGTAAAAAAACAATTGCGCAGATGACGGAATTTGGGGTAGTAGCAAGCGTCTTAATCTAAACATTTGTCCCAATCTGTCCTGTTTATTCATTCTTTCGCTGACAGGAAGCTTACTCTCGCATAAGCTGTGACCCTAGTTTATTGCGGTTCGCATTGCTAACGTGGACAAACAGACCATTTGGTCTTGGGTCCCGCAGCTTCTAGTTGCCATGCAGTTACTTGCTGCTGGTATATGTGCTCACCCGTAATCAAATCAGCTCCAAACATCGGCACTGAAATGCAAAATAATAAAAATGAATTGGTACGCTGGTAAAAGTGAACGACATATTCGTGACTGGACTCTTCGGTCACGATACACAACTGGAATTACTTTATAAAACTCGCTAAGAAACTTGTCTTTAACTTTCAAAGAGGATTAAGGTTTCAAAGACTAGCAATCCTCGATAACAAAGCTAGTAAGATAAAGCTGTTTTCAGTGAATAGATTCCTATGTAACTGAATAGATAACTTGATGGTTCTTTAATAACATCATAAGATACAATAAGAAGAAAAGCAACCGTCTCTGGGACACATTGACGAAACTGGCATACACTGAAGAGTACTTGACACTAATATTTCACTCTGATTTTTTTTCAATGAAAACACTGTAAAATACATGTAAAAATAAACTAAATATTTTAGCAATGTCATTATGTACACTCTAAGTAGTGTTCATACCCCTAAATAATTATTCGTGTATATGAGTAAAATATAGTTTCTTAATACAAAACCACTAAGTTCATTTACGTTCGCATAACTCGTTAAAGACAAGATTAGGGTTGCCACCTCTTTGGTTTCATCCAGAATCTCCGGGTTTCAAGAAGTAATCTCCGTACTCTGGGTTAATATGGAAAATATCATGGTTATACAAGCAATGAAATTCATTTTGAAAAACATACTGACTTGTTTTGCAGAAGTACGTGATGTGATGCGCTTGATAGCGTTATTTGTCCTTGGCTCATGGAGTTAATTCCGCACTACAGTGTGGAAAAAAATAACCCATATTTCACATTAAAATTATTTTTCCTTCACGAAAATTTTTATTACAACAAATAATAATCTCAATATACAAAATATGAAAATTAACGGCGAGAAAAATCGATGCAGCTCGAAATGCTATTCGAGCGCGAGTCTCATGAGATTTTTTCCCTGAAATATATCTAGTGAAATGCATTATTTATATTTCACGCCATGAATATGTATAATCCATAAAATACAATTTCATATATTTGCCCCTAGACCCTACGGTCTACAATCCCCCTAGATATTTCAGTTTTCAAATTAAAATTGTAATAACGATATAATTCGCCCAATTTTTGGACTTTCTCAATTTATTTTATATTTTTAAGCTTAAGGTAAATAGTATCTTAAATTCATTTTAGCAAGCTAGAAGGAAGGAAAGTATATTTGAAGATAAAATATAAAGCGTATGACTTAATTTTTGGGTCACCCCCACCCCCTGATTCAAAATATCCGGGTAACGAGCTTCCAGGAGGTGGCAACCCTAGATAAGATAAAACGTCAATTTATTCTATTCAAGAAATCAACAGAAATATTATGGATTTTAATGTAGAGAAGTGTTTGTGTATAAATTAATTTTGTGGTTCTAATGTGATGCACAAAATTATAATACACTCGTATGCGTTAACTATGGTGTTTGTAGGGAGGGAAGGATGTGACGTCATTAACATTTTTATCAAAACCATAGCTGTCATTATTGCGATTTCTCAAACTCTCTCAGCATTGCAATAGAAAATCATTCACCGCATTTCCATCTACATTATTCACAAGAATTTTGTTCGCATTATAATCGAGAGAATTTCAAACCATGAGTTTGTATGTCATATTTTCAAACCACACACGAAAAGCGAATCAGGGTGGCCACTACTTCCGCAAACTAGTTCAGGTAGCATCATTTCTCCAATGCTGAGTACGATCGCTTTACACACCACCATTAGCAGTTGGAGAGTGCGGTTTACAAGGTTCACAAGCAGATGTTCTTAACTGATATTCGTGTAAATCTTGAAAGGTGAGTAAAAGAGTAGTACATTTAAAAACATGACTTTGAAAACTATTTTTTAAGATATTTTTTTAATTTTATGAAACTTTCATGATTTGAGATAATATAATTTTACGACGAACAATTATCACGAATAAATTCCTTTCAATTACATATTTATCATTTAAAAGGCGTCGAAGACACTTGATAACTTCTTTTTTAAGTAGTTTGGATTGTATATGCTTTCAACTCAGGAATTATGAAAGACTGAGAGTTTAAAACTTCTCTAAAACCTCAGAACAAGGAATATGCTGCGTTCATGTATTACTCAGACTGAACAATGTAAAAAAATTATAATTTAAAAGCATATTGTCTAGAAATGTATTGCTTTTTATCGATTTGTTTCGGTCTTAAAATGATTTTACTTACACTGGCGGTCATTTCCTCGTTAATGGAAATTGTCCTTCAAAGAAATAACACCAGTATCTTCCCAGATACCTTAAGTTGAAAAGCATCTCTCCTTTTCTAAATTATAACGGAAATCCCTCGCAGAACACCATTTTCGAGAACATAACCTCAATACTACATCTTACGTGTTTGAAACAAATATTTAGACATGAATTAAAGCATTGTTCTGCAATTGCAGATAGGTACAGTATAGCTAGATGCTTGCCAAGTAGGAAAACAATAGTCACGGATCAAGGATTGAGAAACTGCCGAACTGTTCGTTGTTTTTGCGAGCACAGTTGATCAGAATAAAAATAACAATTTACGGAATATAATCAGCTTGTGTTTAAGCTTTAATACATTTTAGGCATGTAATTGTGTCCTTAAAATGCCTTTATATATGCGTTGCTTGATGATTTAGTATTTTTAAAGAAAATTATTACTTTTTTAGGAAAGAGTTCATTTGGAAACCTTGATCTATTGTAATACTTTTACTTAAAATTGATTAGTAGCATATAATTGGAGGCATGTGAGATATTTGTTTGGTAAGATGGTTTGATAAAAAGGGACGATTACAAGCTTGGAAAAGAAACAAATATGATCGTAAAAACATCAATTACAGGGTTAATTTAATACATTGCGAACATAGACCTCAGTTACACGTGCAGCACATCAATATTCCTCAATCATTCATTTCGTGAAATTTTGAAATTGGTGTTCCAGAGTGGTAAGATAAATTAATAAAATTATCGTATCTTATTCAATTACGAATGCATATCAATTTATTTACATGTAAACGTATTGGAGTTTTACATCCATTGTTTTGCTGCAACAGTGCTTCTTTTACTCACTCTGCGCCGTCGTTGCTAGCAGCAGCAGTAGCGCCGCCACAGCCTGGGAGCTCGGCATGGCTGGAAGCGCACTTGGACTTCTGTTGTTCTGCACTACCTGATTGTCGATAACTGTGTGATTTATCGCCAATACCTGAGAACGATTCGGAGATCGTATCTTATCACCAACCACGTACTCAGAGAGATAACAGGTTAGATATTGTCTGTCTTAACAGGGCTGAGGTATACATGTCAGCAGAGGCCCCTCAAAGGATATGGTTATTTGTAACGGTTAATGTAGAAATTCCACGTCAATTAACACGTCAAATTCTGCCATTTATTGGATTTTACTGCTATGATGGACATTTAGAAGAAACATTTTAAGCAGTACTAAACCTCTTAGCAATAATCCTAATGGAGAATCAGAAAGTAATGCACATAATAATATGACATTAATAATATACTCCCAAAACTGAACACTTTCGTTAAGATTTGTGAAAACGTTGATAAAGAAAATTGTACTAATGGCAATAATAATACATAAGACATTATTCAAGAGTAAAAGAACATTCTGATGAATTATTTAAAAAACAAAATAATGCATATATACTAAAAATAGTAACAAAATTTTAAAGAAATTTGTGAATTAGCGCCAGTTTCCAATTTCCAAAATATTCCAATTTTTCCTTGAAGAAATCACAATGAATTCCAATCTGCAATACATTAAATAATACTTGCTGTTGCTGTCGAATAATGATGTTGCGTACACCGACTTGTTGGCATATATTGTCAGGAAAATATGATTAATTAATATATTTAACAAGTATTTCCCTTTTTATTAGTGACACGATTTTCAACATTTGTAATATTTGTGATAAGATATATTATCTACTCTGTATCCTAATTCAAAATGTATAAATTCTGATTCTAGTTTTTCATCAAAATAAGAAAGTGGTACTAGGATGAAATTGGCTAAAGAGGTAAGTTGTGTTATCATATTATTTTTCTAGATCACGGACGTAAGAAGTATTTTCAGACGGGCTGGCAACTATGAGATCATGTAGTAAGGTTACCCCCAAAAAACAAAACTAAATTATTTATAATTTATTCGTTGCATCATCAGTTAGTATGAATTTATTTTCCATAAAATATATTGACCTTTAATTGTATTTAAAAACATTTCTTAATTATGTTATTTTTTAAATTCAATTATATTTTTACTTTCTTCCAAACGTAAGTATACCGGAGTTATATACGTAATATATATTGAAAGTTATGGCTGCAGAAAATCGATTTCGAGATTTCAACGGAAATATACCTTTGGGGGGTCTCCTGATACCGAAAAAGTGTTGGTTTTTTTCAAAACGTCCGTTTGTCGAGTGTATGTGATCAACATTCCTAAACCATACGTAGGATTGTTTTCCAAATTGATGTCGATCTGGCCTGAGTCAAAGCTCTGCGATTTGATAAACATTCATTAATTTTTGGAAGTACTTTACATTATGCCTCTGTGACATTTTCAAAATTTTTCTGAAAATGGTTTCAATTTTTTTGTAAGAATAGAGTAAAATACACTTATAAAGATGGCGTAGGTATGTTTTTCACAGTTAACACTGATGTTTAGTAAATTGCCAAAGTTCGAAATTTCTTCAATGCCTTACTACATCTACAAAATTGAATATTCAGATTTTTCCTGCAAATCATATTTTTCCGCTTTTAACTAGCTCTTTTATAAAGGTCATGTAGGTTTTTTTTTTAATTTTAGTAGTTTTCGTGCAATTGTGAGTGAAACGTGTGCAATGTTCAAAATTTTCAAAAACAAGAATTTCTCAAAATACGAGTTCAAACGTTTTCTTTAAACTTTTCGTGACGATAGTACTGTACTGTAACATATGACATAAACGCTGTTTTGCAGTTTATTTTTTTCTCAAAAACATTTCACAAGAGGGTTTTTTTTCATCTCATATTTATATTTACATTACCGGCAATTTGCACACATTGCATTCATGAGTACATTTGCTTCAACTGGTGTCTTATTAAGTTTCTCGAAAACTTAAATATTTTGTGAGGGTATGTGAATTCAAAATTGCGTATTTTTACGAAACCCGCCACAATTTTGTTCTTTAAAGTTTTTCAGTGGATAATGCTAATTGGACTAAATAACATGACATTAATGCCACTTTGATGTATGCTTTTGTTTTTTTCAAAAATTACCCTTTTTTAATATCTCTCAACCATTAATATTTATACTATCAAGGATTTATATACATTATTGCATCAGTAAGTGGTAGTGCTTCAAATTATTTCTAATGAAGTTTCTCGAAAACTCAAAAGTTGTCTGTGAAAAACTGCTTCAAATTTCGCATTTACAGAAACTCTTACATTTTCTCAAAATTCGCTCCAAATTTTTCAATGAAAACTGCGATATAATACGACATTTTACTCTTCTATAATATTGTTAAAGTAATTGATGAGTTCTTCCATTAGGAAACCGAAAAAGTGACCAAATGTGAAAAAAATGTTAGGTGACCATAGATGGCAGCTAGAATGAGATGAGGCTAAAAAGCTAGTCCAGACCAAAGGAATTAGAAAACTGTACGCTTATTTAGCACCACTAGTTTTATACGTCATTATGTGAATAAATAATTCACGAAAATATGTCGGTTGGGTCGTGTACTCAACATCATTTTTCATATGTAAAGAATATATAATAAAATTTCCTGCACGAACACGAATTGACGGTATTTAAATCAAAAAAGAAACTTCATTTTATATTGCCTCAGACAATCATTGTTGGTGGTAAATCTACCATTCTTATTTCAATACCGTACAATAGTTCTTTACATACCAAGAATATCAATAATGTTGCTGTTCATTGACGCCACACATAAATAATAAATATTTAATGAGAAATAGATTTTTCCTTGGAGCTTTGCTGTCGCATGACATCAATGTGCCGTAAACAGTGACACTGAGTATGAGAATTCAATCGGTACGCCCAGTTTGCGAAATGACGTATTAATACAGTCAAATATTTGTATTTTTTAGTCAAAATCGAAACTGATTGTTTCTGCTCTTTGTACGGCGAGAAAGTGCCGTGGAAAACAGCTAATTTACAACAGAAAAACTCTATAGCCGGGCTCTAGAAACGAAAAGGTGGATAAATCTTGTTCTTATATTGAGTAAACAACTTCCTCTAACACGTTATGCAGTCAAAATCTTTGTTTAGTGGGTTCTTGATACCGGAAAATCGATTTATGGTAAAACATGTGTATCTTTCCACAATGCGTCTGTGGCAGTCCGTCCGTCTGGAGTCAAAACTAGTGCCAAAACCGTTTAGCCGATTTTCTTCATAATTGATAGTCCTCAATCAATTTGAAGGTGCTCGAGGCCGTGTAAGTCTGCAATATATTTTTATCTTGGGGGGTACTTTACCTAAAACTCCATTAACATTTTCAAAATTCTCATTAATCCATTAGCATTCTGAAAACTGTGCCCAAAGTTACTGATTAAACTTTGTTCTCTGATAGCGTAAAGAACGCTTAAGAGAATGGTGCAGATCAGATTTCCTTTGAAATGTTTCAAAGAAATGTGAAGTTAGTGAATTTTTAAAACTTTTTTCTCAAAAACTGCTCCAATTTTTTTCTAACTTTTCTGCTTGAAATTAATGCAATTTATAAACTGGTTGTGCAACACTTTCTCGCATAATTTCTAAATTGACAGTTCTCGAAAATCCAGTGTTCAACGAAAATGAACCTGGGATATTATTGTAAGCGTCCCTTGGAAAAAAATTGGAGCGATATTTTTTTGAGAATGTGTTTTTTATAAATTGCATTAAACGTCCGTGCGTCTGTGAACACCACGAAAGAAAATTTCGCGGTCGATCTGGCTCAACAAGAAGCTTAGCAATTTTCAAAGTCTTTCCTTAAAATTTGGGGATACTATTCCTGAAGTACCAGGGTCATTTTCAAAATTATCTGAAAAAGGGAACTATTATTGAAATCGCAGGGATCGTCTAAACACGAATACTGTACGATAGTCGATAAAGCTACGTACTAGTACGATAAAAGCAGTACTGAACATAGTGTTGCACCTGCAGGAGGACGCTACTATCCATGACTCTTCAGGAGTGTATGCTCTCTCAGTGTGATTATTGTTAGCTTATTCATAACGTTACTTCTAAAAGCGATATCCCTCCCCCTCCCTCTCCTCTCTCTCTCTCTCTCTCTCTCTCTCCTCTTTCTCTCCTCTCCTCTCTCCTCTTCTCTCTCCTCTCTCCCTTCACTCTCCCCTCTCTTTCCTCTCTCTCCTCTCTCTCTCTTTCCTCTCTCTCGCCTCTCTCCTCTCCTCTCTCTCGCCTCCTTCTTTTTCTTCAAAATGTAAAGTGTGTTCTAATTGGATAAGATGATTTGTCGGTCCCAGTTCATGAACTCCAGTTGCAGGAGGTAACGTCAACCACAACGACGGTTAACGACCACCGACAATAAAACTTATTACCAACAATAATTGTTACTCAACATCTGGCATGAACAACGCGGAATTTACTGCACGGAAAAGCACTGCACGCACTGAGGCAATAAACATAAAAACTATTCCAAGGCGGGCAACCTTTCCATAAAAGAAATTACACGCATGAAACGCACATTTTTAATCTACAAATCTCATGTAAAATGAAAATAAATTCCTCAAACAACCACCGGAAAATATATCTCAGGGCATCAACTGACGTCATTGCGGGGCCTTTGATCGGGATTTTCGACACTAGCTACATAGCTAGGTCGAGTTCAGCCTCCGTCTGGAGAATTCTAGCGGCCGGCTGCTTTGTCGATCGATAGTTTTCTGCAGTTTCTCCGAACAATACCAGACACATGCCGGAGCTGTACCCCATAGAGTAGAGATATCTCTCCTCTATGATGTACCCTAACAGAGGGGTCACAGACGTGCACGATCTCTTTCTTCCTCTTGATTGTCCTTCCCTCACCCCTTACATACACAGTTGTACTCGTATGCACTGCACTATCACACATGTCGGGAGACATGAGCTTGTCCCGGCTGGAGCGGTGCCACGCTGGTGGGAGATACGAGTACCTAGTTGAGTAAAATCCCCCATGAGCTGCCGTAGGTTGGCGCCGGATCTCGCCATCCAGTGAGGGA